AACAGTATAAGAAGATCGGCGAGGTATCATATATGATCGATTGGTATCGTTTATCAGGAAGAAAGAGCCTCGATGTTATATTGATGATCGCTATGTCCAATACGTCGATCAAACTTACCGCTGGAAATATCTTCGAGTTAACATTCGGCACTTTTGGCAATGTGAGTAAAGCAATGTCAATGTTTGTCATATCTGTCCACAAACAGCGTGACTTATACATCGTTTGTACAATTGATAGGTGATTAAAACGTCGGTCGCCTACTTTAACATGCTTCGTACATTAAGTATATAAAGCCTATCCGATGTATAAAATTTATTAAAATGACCACTAATTATAAATAAATGCCAATTAGTTATCCGATATGTATTGAGTAGAAAGAAAGAAATAAATGTGATTTTAATAAATAGAAATTTTTGTCGTATTTACTAAAATACATTTGCAGAAGGAGACATAATTTTTGTAAATTTTTCTTTGAATACGCTTAACGCTGTACATATCATTATCCGATATAAAATCATGCGAAATACAGTCGGAAATAGTGAAATTTTTTGTTCGTATTGCTATATCGTGCTTGTATTATAATTCATAACTAAACAAACTTTCGTACCAGTAATGTTTCTACAGTTGTTAGGTAATATATAGTGTACAAATTATAAAAAATTTATATAATATTTTTGCTTTTATGACAATATTCAGCAAAATTACGTGTCTTTACCTTATTTGACTTATAATTTGAACCTTTACGTACTCCATATATGTGTCATGCGTCGCACACGTCTTTCTGTTGCAACATCGTATTTATTCGATAATTTGACAGGTAAAATTCGTTAAACCCTTTCACGTAAACCCTGTCATTATGCGCAGACGTTTTGTACACGCAAGCGCGGTACACATTCAGCTCTCACCGCAGAGAAAGAAAGACCACCCATTATCACATACATCCAGCCCAGTCATACTTGAGCTTCTGGTCCGATCTGACCATCTGTCATTCGTAAACCCGAAATGCGAAAACGTTATTAACGGAAATATTCAGCGTCCGGAGGAAAGAACGAAACAAGTGCGAAGATCACGTTCAAAGATTCAGTCGCGTGTTAAATTCATTTCAACTTAAAAATAGAAACAAAAATATAAAATGAAACTAGCCGTAGGAGATTTGTCGAAAACGAGCAGACACGAGGACGATTACAATTACGCAGTGCAAGTGACTCGCATTATCATGCGAATGATCGGCGCATGGCCGATTCCCCATTACGCTTCCAACGCGGAGAGAATCGCGACACGCTTGCAAAACGTCTTATGTTACTTTCTCTTCGCATTTGTCGTTGTGCCGGGTCTCCTGCTGGCGTTCCTGAAGGAACGCGACTTCAAACGTAGAGTGCGATTACTCGGGCCGATTCTGAATTGCTGGATGGGTTGTCTCAAGTACACTCTGCTCGTGTACCACGCGAGAGAGATTCTGTCTTGCCTGAAACAGGTACGACAGGATTGGAGAGATACGGTCGACTGGAGGGATCGGAAAGTGATGCTGTCCAATGCGAAAGTAGGTCGGAAGTTCGCGGTCTTTTCCGCCGTCTTCATGTACGTCGGCGGGCTGACCTACCGCACGCTCGTACCGGTCTTGAAGGGACGAATGCTCACGCCGATGAACACTACGGTAAGAGCGCTGGCGTGTCCGAGCTACTTCGTCAAGTTCGACGAGCAGGCCTCGCCAGCATATGAGATCGTCTACACCCTGCAATTTTTCTCTGGACTGGTCACCTACTCGGTGACGGTTGGCGCGGCCGGACTGGCCGCGTTCTTCATCATGCACGTTTGCGGACAACTGGGCATTTTAATCGGTAAGCTACAGCACCTCAATGACATGCCGGAGCCTGAGGATCGAGCTGTCGCGATAGTGCTGGCTGATATCGTTGAGCATCAGATAAAAGTGAAAAGGTGAGGTGAAGATAAGCGAGATGGAGATTTTTATGTAAATGAAACGTATTATTAGTTTCATTAAGCGCAAATAATTATAAAATAAAGTTAAAACAATGAACAATAATTACAATTTGAACTAGACCGCATATATAAATACACAAAGAAATTCGAGAGTGCCTTCGACGGTCACGGCTGGATATTCGTGCCTAATAATTTCTATATGAATTTCTTAACACCACTATTCAGGTGTTTTAAATAATGGACTTATTGTTAGTATGTCATTATTAAAGCTGTGATAATTTCTTTCGGAATGTCTGTTACAGAAAATGCAACGAAATATTCAGCTTAACATTGCAAATTTATAATAAATTATAATTATTGTAATTATCATGTAAGACCAAAGAACATTATTTAATTATTTTAACATTTTAAATATATTGATACAATATAATGCTATTAACAATTAAAACTGTATAAATATTACGATTATTTAACAGAAATGATTTATTTACAGTTTCCTAAAACAAGTAGAGGAAACTATGCGATACGTGTTGTTAGTGGAAATAGTGGGCTGTACTATACTTTTGTGCCTTACAGGATACTACGTTATTATGGTAATGACAACGAACAATTTCCGCGAGATCTTTCGTCCATGCATAATAATTCGATAGTTCAAAATCTCATTTTCGTAAAGAAATTAATACTGATAGCATTTATCAAAAATATAATTTCGGAGGCTTTATACATTGCAATACCGTTAATTTTGTAGGAGTGGGAAACTAGCGGTGCTACAGCTATGTTAGTTATGCTTGTGGTACACATATCTTTCATCATTTCCATTTTTACTAATTGCTACGTTGGTCAACTATTGACAGATCAGGTAGACAATATTAATACCACATTATTTGCTGTGAAAATTATCTAGTGAAAGTTGCACCGATATTTTCACAAGCACTCACAAAATATAAACTGAATTCATTATGACAGAGCATTAAGGTTGGATCAGTGACATCCACGACGAATTGGCATCGTCTTCCTTACAAAAGAGCCCGTACTTTAATCCTGATAATGGCAGTTTCCAATATTCCGACGAGAATCTTGGCGGGAAAAATGATAGAAATGTCCCTACCTACGTTCAGTAATGTACGTGTAAAAGCTTATCTCTCATTTTGCCTTGCTAGAATTAAATTACATATTTATTTTGTCACTTCATAGATTGTTAAAACGTCAATGGCGTACTTTAATCTGCTTCGGAAATTTATCACATGATTCTGATGGGATAACTTTTATATATACAGTACTCAAAATATTAATCTGTAATTGATGCAATTTTTGAAACGAATGGACAAGACATGCAAACAATATTCTTCTTATTTTGATTTTAATCTTTCCCTTTCAATAAGACATTTCGTATTTTGCACATTTATTTAAGATTTAAAATTTTTAAGATTAGGTACTGGAGGACTCAAACATTTACCGCATTAATAATTAGCGATTTATGACCTACGACAGAAGACAGGTTCGTACTTTTGCTAAAAACTGTTCAATGTGAACTGATCTTACCCTATAATTATCTACCTACCTACCTAAAAAATTGCGCGCACGCAATCTTTCGTATCAAACTTTTAATTAACGGCGCTGTGACAGAATTACCGCGTGATAAAGATACAAAAGCGTGCATAAAACCTGTTCTATAATAGCGTAAGCAAAGTTGTCGAATATGAGAAGAGTATTCGACTGTATGTGTAATTTTGGTCAATTCTTACAACTACAATCCTTGTATCTGTTAGTGTATCCATTCCTCGTATCCATTCCTTGTATCTGTAGTGTATTTTATACCAAAAAGCAATGATGAAAACAATTTTTTGGGCACATTTTAACTCGAGCAAATTGAGGGATCATCTAATATAACTAAATAAATATCATTGAACAAAGAATCTTACACAAATTTAACATGTATTAGAAAAAGTCCGACTTTTATTAATGATAAAACAATAAAGCAGTATCAGCCATGCAAAAAAAGGTAACTACAATGTACATTTTTTATGAAGGAATTTTTTGTAAATTTTTTAGCATATTATTTAATTTAATTTTTTTGTTGAAAACTTTACAAAGTTCTTCAAGACTTGATTAAGCCTTACAAAGTACTTTAAGACTTAATCGAGACTTACAAAGTACTCTCTCTCTCTCTTCAATTGTTGTTGATGATTCACAAAATACTTTAAGATTACAGGATAGCATAGATATTTCAGTACTTCAATCAATGATGAATGAATTGGCGTAAGTATCTATTTTGAATAAATTGGAGTAAGTATCTATGCTACTTTTCTATTATAGGCAAAGGTTATGATCTCTCCTTTTCAAAATTGTATTTAATTAATGGTCGTAGGAATTTCTTTATCTTGAAAAAATTTTATAATATTTATCTGTATTGTTTAATTTATTTTTCCATTTATTAAATTCCATCTTAAAAATAGACTTATATTAGAATCTTTACATACGAATTACACGTTTCTCTATTCATTTTATACTAAAAGTTTTTTGTTCTTAATTTTATAAAAAAAATGGTCAATTTTTTAACATTTATATTGTAGTAAGTGCTATTTTTCTATTATAGGCAAAGATTATGATCTCTCATTTTCAAAATTGTATTTTTCTATTTCATCATAAAGTTTACTATTTCAGAAATACCGATATTAGCGAAAACAATTTGTAAGTATATTTAATAATCTGTCTTTTTCTAATATTATTTATATTTTCTATTTTTCAGAGACATAAGTAAAGCGGTCAATATTATAGAAGAACAAGTTAACAAATTAGTTACTACCCAAGGCTTGATGAATTCTCATTCAGTGATACAAGATTTGAATTTGCCAATATCTACGGGAGAAGACTACTATGAATTTAATTCTAATAACAGAAAATTAAAAATTTTAGTATGTATTCTATATAAAAATAATTCAATTCTTTTAATATAATAAATATTATTGTAATTTGCTGTTCTTATAGCAGACATACTTGGATTACATTAGGCGATTTGGATATGCGACGAGCGTTAAATGATTTGTTAAGTTTTTACCATGTCTGATGAGTTTATGGCAGACAATGTCACATGGAAAGAGGGAAACAATAAACTGCATTTCCGAGAAAGTGCAATAAGCTGGACTTTTTTTGGTAATTATTCCGATTATAATTTCTTTTCAATAATTGATAGTACTATATTTGATATTACTTTAATAAATAGTGTTTATTATCCATCATAATATTTATTTATTATAAAGTTTTATATTAAAATATCGAATATGGATTTGTGGTTAATCTATCAACAGTTTTTTATAAAAACTTATTTGTGTGTGTATTGTTAAGTATAATCCTATTTTATTATAATTAAAAAAATAATATATTACTTTTTTAATACTTTATTACAATAAGACATTGGATCAATTTTAATATTTAAAAATATAATATAATAAGTACAGTATATACTATAATAATATTATGTACAATAAAAAACAATTTTATAAAATAAATCATAATAATTTTTTAAAAATAATAAATCCTATTTTTTTCAATTTATAATAATATGTAACGTTAACTTGTGTAAACTCACATGATGAATCACATCAGATAATATCGACAATATGGTAGTAAATATGTAACAAAATCTGTTGACATCAATTTGACAGCAAATCAGTGATAAAATACGGGTATTTTATCATCAGACAGCAGATTGTCGTCAAAAACTAAATAAGATTTGCGTAGCGATATATCTGGCGAAATTGTCAGCAAAAATCATGCAAGATCTGCGCAACATTGTGTAACGACAAATTGACAAAAATCAAGCAAGCTTTGTACAGCGTTGTCTGACGAAATTTTCCTCAGAAACTATGCAAGCAGAATATTCACTATCATTGAACTTACAAAACTTACAAAACTGCCGCTAGATAATGTTTACTAGCATCTGTTTCTCGCATTAAAAATTTGTCGAGCTCTTCTATGTAACCAATGTCGAAGTTTGGACATGTCATAATTATTGTGCATTTTTTATGTATGCACACTTAGTGCGAGATGTGAATAATGTTTTTGCAACGTATAAGTTAATAATGAATATAACTTAAAAATGGTCGACAGAAAAGCTAAGTAGCAAAATAAATTTATTCATATCAGACAATAACATGCTATTAGTGCTTTTAAATATTGATGGTTTAATGGCAGTGCCTCGTAATTAACAATTTATTGAAATTTAAAATTTTAACATTTTCATATTAATAAGAAAAAATTGAAAACACCGCAAGAATTTTAATAAAAAAGATTTGTTTTTTTTTATCAATATTCTTGGAATGTTCTAGTTTTTTAAAATTGATATAAAAATGTTAAAATCGGAATTTCAATAAATTGTTAGTTACGAGCTGTTAGACCGTCGATATTTAAAAGAACTAATAGCATGTTAATATCAAAATGTTAATATCAAAACAAGAACAGATTCTAGATTTTTTAAAGTAGAATGCTTTAATACTATTATTAGGATTCTTGAATGTTATCTGGGGGGCAGTTGTGAAAATTTAATAGCAAACATCATACACAATGTGCATAGTATATTTACAAGACATTTATATAATTCAGTCTTATTTTTTACAGTATATTTTTACACAGTAGCAAAAATATTATAAATCTAATAATAATAAAATTTATGAAATTCAGACTTCATTGTAGAAAACTCCTAGCAGTGTAAGCCTAAACATGTTTCAAATAAAAGAAATGAGAAAAGCAAATCCTGTAAACAGTGCAGAAGGTCGGCGAGATATCATACATGATTGATTGGCATCGTCTACCAGGGAGAAAGGGCCTCGCCCTGCTGTTGATAATCACTGTCTCCAATAAGTCGATCAAAGTCACTGCCGTTTTCTTCGAGTTGTCGCTCAGTACTTTCGGCGACGTGAGTAACGCAATATCAATATCAGTATCGTATTTATCTGCGAATAGTATAACTTACGCATATTTGTTTGATCAATAAGTGATTAAGACATCCGTCGCCTACTTGAACATGCTATGTACATTAACTACGTAAAACATAAAATTGTCCAAAGTGTAGAAATTGTTACAACTACTGAATAAAAAATAAATGTCAATTAGTTATCTAATATAAAAAAAGAAAAATGAATTATTTTAGGAAATAGAAAACTGCCATATTTATTAAAATAACTGATATTATTAAAAAAAAACAGTCCAATATACCTCTTGCATATATTTTCCTCTAAAATATATCTGACATTATTAAAAAAATAGTCCAATAAACCTCTTGCATATATTCCTCTAAAATATTTTTTGGCATATATTACGTGATAAAAATTAAGCAAAATGCAATCGGAAGTATTGGAATTTTGTGTACGTGTTATTCTTATGTTATAACGTTCGTAGTTCATAATTAAATTTTTTATATCATTCTTTAATTATTATAACAATGCATATATATATATTTATATTGCAATATAATTTACTTACATAATATTCTGTTTAGCAACATACAGCACAACTTCGTTCGACAATATTGTTTTTAACTCGTAAGTGTAAGAAGATGGTACTGCATGGCGACTCTTCTCTTGCTCAATGTTGCATTTGGACAATATGACGCTTCACGACCGTTTTCACATAACCTTATCATTATATGCAGACATTTGTGTGCACGCAATTATATATTTTTACAAAAAGAGAGACCCCAATCACATATGTCCAGTCATGCTCGAGTAGTTCAAGCTTCTATAGTATTGTCATCACCTGTCATTCATAAATTCAAAACGAGGGAACATATTGAAACAATTAGGGTAAGTGTCCCTATTAATGTGCCTGTTCCTATTAGTGTGCTTTTATATTTAAATAAGTCATAAAAATAAACTGGTACAAATAAATAAACAAAGTATTTTTTTTAAATTAAGTTAAAGTATTAACGTATATAATACCAAAGATTATATTCTATTTTTTAACTGTTAAAGTATAATGAATATTTTTTGAATTATGCATATCACAATTTAGAGGAATTAACTCGAATGTCTTAGCAAAAACGATAAGAAACACTTACTTAATAGAAGTAAATAAATTGATTATTAACATAATTTACATCATGTAAAATGTAAATCATATTATAAATTGGTTTAATTTAATAAAATAGTGAAGTACTTAAGTATTTTAGCAGTGTTTTATGTTATTTATTATATGAGTCCATTAATACCGTAAGATTTTAAGACTTGTTCCTATTAGTATGCTCTCCTGTTTTCACTGTCAGCCGGCTGACTCGGTTAACCCATAACTTATGTAATGGTCGTGATGTGACAGCGCATATATTGAAATTGTAAACCGATGTGAATCTCTTTGGATGTGATAGTGCTATGGATGGATAAAACTATAGAAGCAATAAAATTAGGAACACCGATAAATATTGCTAGCAAATCATATAAAGTTCCACGATCATCTCTTCATAGCAAGATTGTCAAAAAATATATTCATGAAAAAACTGGACCAGGTATCGTATTAACTTTGGAAGAAAAAAATAATCTTGTGCACTGGATTCTCCATATGTGTTCTCTTGGCTGTCCAGCTAATCACTTGCTTGCAGATTTTGTTTATTATTAACTATCAATCTGATGTAAATTTACAGTCGTGGACAATGAGATTGCAACACATTTTTCAGTGAATTTACGAATGCGTAAACTCACAAATATGTTATATATAATTAAAATAATACTGTTCTAAATGTTAATACTAACATCAAATTATATTATTTATTTAATATTATTTGAGAAAAATTATTAGAATGTTAAATACCAAGCGTTCATAAAACTCACTAAAAATAAAGTCACTACCTCATTGTCCACGAGTATATGTAGTGAAATGAATTAAAGAACAGACTCATTAATCGCGGGCACACTAATAAGGGACACACAAAAATACGGGCAGGCACAGTAATAGGAGGGCCCTTAATGCCCGATATGGCCATCGTGCCGTAGAGGGGCACACTAATAGGGACAAAAACATTGTTTTTATTTTTATTAAAATATATTAAAATATTAATATTTTTTACATAAAAAAAATTTCATAAGAAAAAGAAATATTTGAAAAATCGATAGTAACTTTAAACAGACAAATTGAAAGCTACAGTATTTAGTAATTAATTCAGTAATGAACAAATTTTCTTAAAAGCACACTAATAGGAACACTTACCCTAATTCTCATCGTCCGAGCAAACGCACAATTTACGATTAAAAATTAAAATGCACGTTAAACATCGATTTCCAAGTTATACTTCCCAGACATTAGACTTGTCTCTTTAGACGGTATTTAGATAAATGCATTTTTATTACATTATATATTAACAGAAAACTGATGTTTCAAGCAACGGACTAAGATACTTCTCAATGTGTTTCCACAAAAAATATATTTAATGTTTAAAAAATTCTGTTAATAATATAATGAATGCAATTCTATCTTATTATAAAATAATTTCTTTAATTTGAGAAAAATATCATAAGATGAGAAAACATTTTCTTCATTTTAAAACATAAAGCAATAACGGCAATAGCACTTCTATCTTACGCGACTTGTATTATATATAAGTATTACAGAATATATACACGTATGCAAAATGCTATTCCTCCATGTAATACCTCACGCAAGAAAGAAATGCTTGTCTCGATTTATCCCGATAAAGTCGCGGAAAAAATTTGCAAGAACAGCATTATTCATTGCGTTCATAATTTATGAACAAATAACATGCAGTACCACGCGAGGAAACCTTGACAAACCCTCTTGCGAAAGTCGAGAATTGCATCAGTAAAATTTACCCTTCGTATCCTGATCATCCCTTTCTTAGAAGGGAAGTCACGCGGAACAGCGTAGTCGCATTTGAATTTCCGCACTCGAGCGCTTGCACAACCCTATCAGTCACCATTGAGTTCTCGCCGCTTCAACGATGCACGGGAAAGATGAAAAGTCGCGACCGTCTACGCCCTACGGGAAAGATTTGCAGCTGAGCGTTCAGCTGATTCGTCGGATGTTGGAGGTAGTTGGCGCGTGGCCAAAACCTAACGCGATCTTGCGATAGAAAGATACGCATACGCAATGTTGCATTTGATTTTTGTCAGTTCGATTAGCTTCATCGTTGTACCCGCCGTCATGAGAATAATGCTTGAGACAGACAACACGTACATTATCATAAAAATCAGCGGATCGCTGAGTTTCATGATACTGGCTATCGTGAAGTATTGCTCGCTGATCTTCCATGAAAAAAACATTCGCAACGGTATTAAGAATATTCAGAATGACTAGATAAATACTCGTTATTACGACGATCGGATCATCATGATCAAAAGGTGCGAAATTCGGCCGGAACTTCGTGACGATCTGTGCGTGTTTCATGTACGGCAGCGCAGTTTTCTTCTATTTCGCCGTGCCGTATAGTATTGGCAAAATTACAGAAAATGACGGAAACCTGACAAATTGGCTGATCAGGTATCCAGTCGCCAGGATCATCGACGTGCGATACAGTCCCGCCAATGAGATTTTCTTTTGGGTGCAGTGCCTGTCGGATTTCCTCGCGCACTCCATCACTGCCACTGGATGCAGCATAGCCGCCGTATTTGCGATGCACGTTTATGGCCATATGGAGATTCTAATACAATGAATCGGAAACTTGATAGACTGCTGGGAAGGTTTATGTGATAACATGAATGACAGATTGGGAAATCGTGCAGCAATACGTTCGAATCTTACGGTGAGTCACTTTCGTTAGTGTTTCTTGCATTCGACATGTATATCACTATGCAATACTTCATTTATTCTTAATTGTTTAAAAACATTTATCAAAATAACGTTGAAAATTAAATCAAAGAAGCTTCCCGAAAATAACCAAAACTGGACATTTCATCGACTAATAGCAACATAAAACAAACAACAATTGTGACATTTTACTTATTTTACTTATTTTTTGCAATTTTACATTGTGATCATATTCGATAAAAAACATATATATATATATATATATATATATATATATATATATATATGTCCTTTACAATGATTCCATATACTGTGTTACTATTGTGATTCTTAGGAGGCACGTTATCATCACCCATTCTTTGCATTGCGGAAGTGATATTTTTCACTGGATATTTTTTACGTGGAAATAATTATACTGTTGCCATCCTGACTACATATTATGTAACAAGAAAGATGGCCAAAAGTTTGTACCGAAATGTCTGTTAAAAAATATATGCAATTAATGTGTTAAATAATCGCTTATAAAAATTACTACATAATAATTGTCACGCCGATTCCTGTTAGATGATGACATCACAAGAATCGGATTAATGAAATCATACTTTTTCCGTAAAATATTACGCAATAACATATCCTTTATCTTCTAATTTTATATCGCTAACCGATAAAGTCCTTCGTGAAATATCTATCATAGAA